CCCTCTTGGAACAGAGATCACGATGACACGGCATCCACCCGTTCCGGAGGAACCCCGGGCCCTTCCAGCGGTGGCCACACATCACACAGTGGGGATAACAGCAGTGAGCAAGGTAGGAGAGGTGTTCTCGTGGTTCTCCTTTGCTATTTGTTTCATTCTTAAGGGTTGAAAAATCAGAATTGTCTAGTTAAGGGCTATTTTATACAGTTTTCCCGAGAACATAAGCCCCATATAAAGGAAGCATCCGCTCATCTTAGTGTAGGCCCCTCCCCTTTTCTGCTTCTAGAGCCATTCCAGCTGCCTGACTGCCCGTCACCTGGCCGCCTCCGTAAAGCAGGGTCAGTGGATCGACTGAGGGCGAGGTTAGAGAAGGAGAAGTTGGAATGTACATGAATAGTATGCTACTGATACGGTGCTGTGCAAATAACAAGTATGATCATTACCTGCCCGTAGAGGCTTTTCAAGAGCTCATGAAGAAACACCCACTAGGAGTCCAGCTCAGCAATGTCTTAAAATGCTCGGAAGGCAGTGGAAAACCCATGTTGGGTGTCCCGCTCCACTGGGTTGAAGCCCTTTTTCTGAATTTACTTAACCAAAATCTCGTAAGTGCTTGACTTATTGCAAGGTCAGAGTAAAGAGAATTAGGAAGAAATGGAAAGAAACCAGATCAATCTGATTGGTGTTGCTCTCTGAATACATATACCTGCGTGTGTATTTGGGTGTCCATGATGTATACATCTGGCCATAACCGGTAGGAAACAAAGTTTCAGCATGAAGTTCATCTTCAGCACCAAGGTGAATGAATGATTCAGATGTCTCGCCCTGCTTTTGATGAACCCCGACTGCAGTAGCTTTTGTGTTCAATTAATGCAACCAACGTTTAAAGGAGTCTCCTTCATCTGAATGTAAAGAGACAGCTGTATTGAAGTTGACTCTCAGCCCACTGTAGGAACATACTTTAAAATCTGGTTTGATGATTGTGTTTCAGTGGAGTGCTGTTAGCCAACAAAATACTTATTTTCTAACTTAAATGGTCTCTACCAATTAGAATTGCTGTCCACAATGAATTTAACAGCAAAAACAGGGCAGTCAACATTTTTTAGGCACATGTATGCCATTTGGACAGGGAGTCGTTTCTACACATAGACTTAAGCATTTGGGACGTGTTCTTGTTCAAAGCAAAGTTGCTGACTTCATCACGGCTCTGGGTCCTAGTATAGACGGGGCCTGAGCAGCCAACTGGTCGGAGCTGAGGTGAGGAGAGAGAGGTGACCTTTGCCCCTTGACTTTTACTGGGAAGTTGGGAAGTGATACGCAGCACAGATCCACAGGGCCTTTTTCCTTTGGGACGTGCGTCTGCATCTGTTGTGGTGTCGCTGCTCACAGCGCTGTAGCTAAGGTGACGTCAGCACCTGCAGCAGAAAGCCCCACCTTTGGAACCCAGCTCACACCGCGCATTTTCCAAAAGGTGTCAATGGCACCGCGGTCCTTTTTCATGTACTCCAGAATTGCTACATGGGAGCATGCCCAGTGTGTTTGTTTATTCCTTCTTCTTTTTTCATTTCTGGCTTTTCAAAAAGTATGTATCCTCCCCGAGTGGGCAGGTGGTTGAGCTGCGGCTGCTTTGAAGGCTCGCGAAACGCTCACATGGGCTTGAGCTTAAAGTTATACTACGTTTCCTTAAATGTAATCTGATAAAGGGATTTTCAGAGGCAGATGCTCCCCCCGATTCTTCCTCTTGGACGTGTCATAACAAGGAGTTAGGATTTCTGCCTGTTTCTTTTCCTTCAGCGGGTGCTCTCCAACGGCCACTTTGATGATGAACTTGATTGCAACCAAAAGCCAGAGATCCTTGACATTGCTAGACTTTTCCACTTACATTGTTTCTCTTTATATTTTTCCATAAAAGACCACCACCTTATCAAAAAAGCATTTTTACACAAATTATCTCATTGGAATCATCTCAGTTGAACCTTTCTAAAACAATCCTGGGTGGCAGACAAAACAGGCCTATCCCCATTTGACAGACGAGGGAGAAAAGGTTATGGGTGAGTCAGAGGGTTTGTTGAGGTCCTGATGCGGTGTCAGATCTAAAACTTTGGTTTCCTGATTATTTTTATAAGACCCATGTCTTCATGCCCTCTTTCCCTGGCTCTCCACCAGAGAACTAAAGTCATTTCCTCCCACCTCGATCAAATAGAAACTTTCTGTCCTGATTTTCCCCTTCCTCGCCTCCACCAGCTTGATACTACAGGTGTTAGGAGTCCCGCCTTTGGTCTTCCCCGTGGGTTGTCTCTGACAGTGTGATTTATTCCTTGCTAAATGCAGAATGACACCTAGAAGTGTTGCTGCAACAACTTATGTACATTTCCATGCCAGCCATGACCCTTCTAAATCTCTTTTTCATCCCCGAGACCTGCGGGGCCGGGCTGTGTGCAGCCTGTGGATTAGCTGTGCACAGCGGCTCCCGTGTTCTCCCGGTCTGCCTGTTCCGCAGACTTCGATGTGTAAACAGTGCCGGCATTGGGCCCGCAGTGCGTGTCCTAAATAGTTATTTACACAGTTTGAGTCCATTTTAGTCAACTGGGTAAATAACAGCCCTCTTCAAAAGATTTATAAATCCATAAATATGTCTTTATACATACCCAATAGACAGAAATAACTCAATCTGTCAAGAACACATCCAAAGAGGTGTTTCCCCCACAGACAGGAGTAATACATATTTTAAAACTTTCTCTACTGTATTATTTGTGCGCTGTTTCTTTTTTTCCTCATTCCTTTTCAATTTTCACCACTTCATTATGGCACCTGTGGTACAAAAAGAAGAACTCCCCTAGGCTTTGGTCCTCTGTTAAATAACCTTATCTGCCTCACAGCGTAGGCGTGTAACAGGCTATATATCTCAGCCGAGTCCTGTTCTTTTGGACTTTCAAAGTAAATAGAATAAAAATAAGTCATCCAGGAAATTCGTAATGTTCCGGCAGATTTCAAAATACAATAACAATGTCTAGTTAGCGTTTCCACAATTTGGGGGATTTTGAGTATCTGATAATTCGCCAAAGTAGTGGCTGATGGAATAGTTTCAGTAAATTTTCGACCTAAGCATGAAAAAAAACACACAACATTGAATCTTGGGCATGCTAAAGAGTCAGAGAAGTAATTAAGAAAATGCAAAGTCTATCTATTTTTTCGGGGATTGACTGTTTAGTCATGATTTGCATAATACGTCTTCCCCCCAGCTCTTTATTTATCATGCATGTCTTCCTCGGGACGTCTGCTTTCATTTGCTATTAGCACTGTGGCCCCTGCAGGAAATCAGTTGTGTAGGCAGTGAAGCTCCTTTCAGTGGGCGGAGGAGGCCTAGCAGATGCATCGGGTCCAGGGTTCTGCTGCTGCTGCAGCGACATTGATTTTGTCTACTCTTGAACTTCCTCAAAGCGCTTGCAAAGACATGCGATGGAGTCCTCATTTTATCCGTCAATTATTTGCTATTTCCCATTTTGGAAGAGAAACAAGTACACCTCGGAAATACTGAAGAGTGAGTAGCCGTCAGAGTCTGCTCTGGGGTTCCTTGACCCCCCGAGGTGTGTTCAGGACCCCCGAGCAGAGTCACAGAAGCTGAGGTGGACATTGGCAGATATGTGACCCTTGCATGTGTCTTATTTGTTCTACTGTGCGCGGCTGCCCTACGGACCGGAACCCGGGCATCATCGACGTTGCGTGTGGGTGGGGTGGTAGAACCCCAAGCAGATCTGGTGCCTTTTCGTATTCCTTCCCCGGGGGCAGCCGTTCCACAGCTCACAGGCAGCTTGACCTAGGACCAACCCCGTTTTGAATTTGAGCACGTCTCTCTCTGTGGTTCCAAGTCAAGAGAGATGAATACATGATGGCGATATAATAATGAAATAATATATTCAGGGCTGACAGTCATTGTATTTCCATCTCAGTTGGTCAAGGGGTTCACAGAGGTTCAGAGAGGCTAGGAGACTTGCCCAAAGTCACACTCCTAACTGTGGTATCCTGTGTGATAAAGTGCTCTCGCGTGGCTGGGAATGTAAAAACAGATCATTTGACCGACATTCTTTCTGTATCACTTGGATGACTCCTCCTGGGTGTCTGCACCGGGCCTGGCACTGTGCCCTGTGATGGTGACAAAGCCTCGAATAAGACAGAGTCGACGTTAGCCTCAGGGGGGTTCTACGCTGCTGGCAAGTGAGAACCTAGTTTTGTGTGCTAAGTAGAAGGATGATTGAGATATTTACAGAGGAGCATGATGATGGAGATGATTAATTTGTATTATGTATTAAGAGCCTATCCCATTTCACTCATTCACAGATTTACTGAATTGAGAACAGGAGCACAGAAAACAAGGGAGGGCATTTTCCTGGCAGAACACTTCCCACTTAAAGCTCATCTCATTTTCCTCTTTTGTAAGGATCAAGAAAAAGTAGTATTCCTACATTGAAATTTGATGTAAAACATTTCAACCCTAAAGGACTTGAACAGTCCCTGGAACCTCAAAAGGCCACTTATGAATTTCTCCTTTTGGGGACAGAACTCAGATCAACAATGGTATCTTGGCTCCCTCGGGGGTCAGGGTGGGAGGAGGCAAAGGCAGCATGCTTCTTTAAAGAGGGACAATGGAAAAGCACTGCTACTTCTTTATAATAATGTATCACTAGTTGCAATGCCTCCCACTGCCCCATCCCCCTCCACGCCAGCTTTTGTATGAGTTCAGGCAACCTATAGGCAGGAGGCAATTCCATTTATTATTGAGGGGACTCTCAAGGCAGTTGTTTCAGACCTGTGAAGCCAGCAGGCAGAGCTGGATGGGAGGGGGTGGGGAGCAAGGCGGAGGGAGGTGGGGAAGGGCCGCATTACGTTCCAGATGACTAAGCAACGATTTATATACCCGCTCGCCTTTTTACATGAAGAAGAAAAGTAATAACAGCCCAAACCCGGGCGTTTGAAACAGTCAGCTGTCTGATGAATAATGGGATAGGTGGGAAGGAGCACTCTGATTGGATGTCTTAATGAGCACATTTCGCACAGAGTTTGGGCTGCAGTTCCCCTTGACCTTTGCCCTTTATTGACCAAACTGACACTTCATTT